TCAGCATCAGCCCTTCCAATGAACATCCAGGACTGATCTCCTTTAGGATGGACTGGTTGGATCTCCTTGCTGTCCAAGGGACTCTCAAGAGTCTTCTCCAACACCACAGTTCAAAAGCATCAGTTCTTTGATGCTCAGCTTTCTTTATAGTCCAGCTCTCACATTCATACACGACTACTGGGAAAACTATAGCCTTGACTAGACAGATCTTTGTTGGCAAAGTAGTGTCTCTGCTTTATTTACACATTCAGGAGAGTAAAGTTGGGAACTGGTTTAAATTGCCCTGTGATCTTGTTCCTATAATTAGGTTCTTTCAAAATTAGAGAATAGAAATAGGCAAAGGGGAAAAGGGTGGTATCACCGCTTCATGCTACCTCCCTATCTTTTTTTTCTTCTTTTTTTTTAATAGCTCTAGCTTCTCTTCTAAATTGACTGACTCTATTCTGTTTCCCAATGTAAATTTCAGAAAGAAAATCTCACTGATATAGTGGTTACCTCTTCATCAATGATAGATCAATTCAGCTGTCACAATCCAGCCTGTGGAGTTAGTGTCAGTATGTCTGGTGTATACCTTTGGTCTAATCAGCAGTGTCTTTAGTCATTGCTGGGGCTGGTGGTGTTACTTGACTAGTGAGTGGTTATATTTGACAAAGTTTTCATAGCAAGGATTCGGGTCACCTTGATTTTACTTGTCTATTACATCTTGCTTTATAGTTTGCTCCCCTGTTGCTGCTGCTGCTAAGTCACTTCAGTCTCGTATGGCTCTGTGTGACACCATAGATGGCAGCCCACCAGTCTCCCCTGTCCCTGGGATTCTCCAGGCAAGAACACTGGAGTGGGTTGCCATTTCCTTCTCCAATGCATGAAAGTGAAAAGTGAAACGGAAGTCACTCAGTCATGTCTGACTCTTCGCGGCCCCATGGACTGCAGCCTACCAGGCTCCTCCATCCGTGGGATTTTCCAGGCAAGAGGACTGGAGTGGGTTACCATTGCCTTCTCCGAGTTTGCTCCCCACCCAACTCTAAATATCAATTATCAGTATCAGAATACTTTATGCTTGCCACAGACTAAAACTATCCCACATTTCATAAAACCTTAAGAACGCACTGAATCACATGAATTTCTCTGCTTGTTTCCTGAAGATTTTATTTTCTTACGCCTCACAGGTGATCCTGGTTCAGGTGACACATAAATGTCTCTTCCCTCTGTAGAAACAGACTTGCCATTTTTATTTGTGATTTGTCATTCTCTTCTTTAGGCTGCAGCCACTTCAGAAAATAGAATATGTCCAAGTTGGAAGGAGCACTTTTGATCCATGGTGGTTCAGTTCAGTCCAGTTCAGTCATTCAGTCATGTCTGACTCTTTGCAACCACATGGACTGTAGCACGCCAGGCTTTCCTGTCCATCATAAACTCCTGGAGCTTACTCAAACTCATGTCCATTGAGTCAATGATGTCATCCAACCATCTCATCCTCTGTCATCCCCTTCTCCTCCCGTCTTCAGTCTTTCCCAGCATCAGGGTCTTTTCCAATGAGTCAGTTCTTCACATCAGGTGGCCAAAGTGGAGTTTCAGTTTCAGCATCAGTCCTTCCAATGAATGTTCAGGTCTGATTTCTCTTAGAATGGACTGGTTGGATCTCCTTGCAGTCCAAGAGACTTTCAAGAATCTTCTCTATCACCACAGTTCAAAAATATCAATTCTTCGGGGCTCATCTTTTTTACAGTCCAACTCTCACATCCATACATAACTACTGGAAAAACTATAGCTTTGACTAGATGGACCTTTGTTGGCACAATAAGGTTTCTGCTTTTTAATATGCTGTCTAGGTTTGTCATAAGTTTTCTTCCAAGGAGCAAGTGTCTTTTAATTTCATGGTTGCAGTCACCATCTGCAGTGATTTTGGAGCCCCAAGAATAAAGTCTGTCATTGTTGCCATTGTTTCCCCATCTATTTGCCATGAAGTGAGGGGACCAGATGCCAGGATCTTAGTTTTCTGAATGTTGAGCTTTAAGACAACTTTTTCGGTCTCCTCTTTCACTTTCTTCAAGAGGCTCTTTAGTTCTTCTTGGCTTTCTGCCATAAGGGTGGTATTATTTGCATATCTGAGGTTATTGATATTTCTCCCAGCAATCTTGATTCCAGTGTGTGCTTCATCTAGCCTGGCATTTCACATGATGTGCTCTGCATAGAAGTTAAATAAGCAGGGTGACAATATATAGTTTTAACATACTCCTTTCCTGATTTGGAATCAGATTCATGGTGGTAGTTTCTTTAAAAAGAAGGAATTCTAGTATTTGGCTTGCTTATGAAATGTGTTGCTAAAAATCAAGAATAATGGTCATAATTAGAGAGAAGTTGAGTTTAATTATTTTGATCTGCCTATTAATGTACCAGTTATAGAGTCTGATCTTCCTGCTGGGCACTGTGCCAAGTCAAACTTTACATTCATTGTTTGTGTTCCCACAACCTTCCCAGGTAGACGCTTTCATCTCTGTTCAGATGAAGAGGTGGTGCTTCAGAGAGATTATACTACTCGCTGGAGGCTCCACTGCTAAACACAGGACCTGATTACTAAATTTAGCTCTTCTATATCCTGTTCCCACTCTGTTGCTAGCCCTTCAATATGAGTCTCTTGTATCATCTTGTTGCTTCCTATGTCTTTACCCAAAATAATTAACAGAGTGCCACAGTGTAGAGTTAACCAGTATTTCCTGAGCATTAGGTACAGTGGTAGTTCTGTCACAAAGACCAGCTGGTTTATTTCTTCCACAACCCCGGGAGGTAAATATTATTAGTCCCGTTTCATAGATAAGGAAACAGGGGTTCAGAATCACTTCCCTGGGCTGCCATCTTTACGTGGCAGCATCCAGGATTTAAACACAGATCTTCTGGCCCCAATTCTACCTCTCCTCAATTTCTTACCAGTTAATAAAAATAACTCAGAGAGATAATAATTGTTTTACTTTTGTTTTGTCTCTAAGTCTTGTCTGATTCTTTTGTGACCCTCTAAACTGTAGCCTGTCAGGCTTCTCTGTCCATGGGATTTCAGAGGCAAGAATACTGACTGACAGGTACTGACAGGTATCGAACCCTCATATCCTGCACTGTCACGTGGACTTTTTTTTTTTTTTTGGCCACTGAGCCACCAGGGAAGCCCTTGTTTTACTTTGAGTGAATTAAAGTGTTAGTTGTTTAGTAAGTTGTGTTTGACTCTTTGCAACCCTATGAACGGTAGCCTGCCAGGCTCCTCTATCCCTGGAATTTTCCAGGCAAGAGTTCTGGAGTGGGTAGCCAGAATTCTCCAGGGGATCTTCCCTACCCAGAGGTCGAACTCAGATCTTCCGCCTTGCAGGCATATTCTTTACCATTTGAGCCACTTAGCTTCCCACTGATATGCTCTCAGTTAGGTCTCCATATACATAATGAATAATAAATTTACCTCCTGAGTCTATTGGTGAACTAAAATTGTCACTAATTTTTTTTTGTTCTGTCTTTCCTTCAAGCTTTCCTTTTCATTTGTGTTACTCTTAATTGGGAGGCTTGATAAAAGATAGTTTTCAGAGAAAGTAAATCATGAGTTCCAGATATAAATACAAAGACCCATTCAAAAACTTGTTTTTCTTCCTTTATTTTCCCTGTAAAGGTAGGTTTTACAACCAGTGCAAAGGAAAAACCAAGAGTACACATGTATATGGAATATTTACAATACTCACTGATGTATAAAAGAATATTGAGATGAATTGCAATTGGAGACAAAATTGGTTTTTTGCACAAGGGAGGTGGAGGTATTCAATGAAATCTTTACTAAACAAGGCAGAGTATATATTATTATCATTTTTCAAAGAGTTGCCAAATAGCTCAAAGACAGCAAGGCTAGAAATGGGCAGCAGGAAAGATGTACTATTCATTATGTGTTTATTTCCACTGAAACAAATTTTTCCCCCAACAAGCCCTTGGTGCAGTTTTGAGAAGCTCATTTAGGGCATTATATATAGTAAAAAATAAGTAGGCAGTTTCAAATAAATATAAGTCAATGGTCACACATAGAATAGATTTAGGAATGAATAGGCTATTCTTTTGTATGTTATTTCCCTGATTCTGGGTGATGGTGGCTGTAATTAACATCCCTATAGGTTTAGAGGAAGACAAGCACAGAAAAACCTACCAAATCAGAGAGAATGAGCTTGAAATTCTTTGGATGAGACTACCTAATCCCTCGGAACCATTTGAAGTCACTTTGCCTCTGGCCTGGGGTAGAGATTGGGAGGAGGAGGTTAAGAACCCCATGGCCATTAGCCCATCACCCCCTAAAGGGTCTCAAATCTACACTTTTAAAATCCCAATGCTCTCCAAATGAAGTTGAAAAACCACAGTTATATACTAAATGGGTTAAAGAGAGAAAAATTTCATTATACAACTTTCAAGGTGAGTATCATTTCCAATCACAATTGTTTGCTTCAGTGTTAGCTCAAGCCCTGTCCGACTCTTTAGGTCCCCATGGACTGAAGCCCACCAGACTCCTCTGTCCATGGGATTTTCCAGGCAAGAATACTGGAGTGGGTTGCCGTGCCCTCCTCCTGGGGATCTTCCCAACCAAGAGATCGAACCCAGGTCTCCTGCATAGAGTTTTTTTAAATGGATATTATTAATATTTGAAGTTCTGTAATTGAAAATAGCAGCATTATACTGCTGTGTACCCTTGGTGTGTACCGAGCAAAGGCGTTCCTTTGTAGAACGTAACACACATTTTGGTGGGGCGCTGGTTTAAAACAGATCTTTTAAAATATTTTACTGATGAGGAGGCTCATCACTCTCAGTGGCCCTGACTCTCCCAGAACTGAGAGGTCCTGCCGTGGCCCCAGGCCAAGAACATTTTCCCTGGCAAATGTGTGCCAAAGTTCCTCCAAGAGTCCTTTGGAGTGCAGCGGCCGGTGACACCCTGGGGCGGCACCTCCACCCTTCCGGATCGGAGGCTGGGGGGCCGGGTGCGGGTCACAATGGCCCGCGCGCCTCCGCAGGGCGGCGGCTTCCAGGTGCGGGTGGGGCTACGCATCCCGCCGGCCCGGGAACTTTCACTCGGCGGCCGCTGCGCGCGGACAATGGGCCGGGGCAGCGCCTTATCGCGGCGCGCAGGCCTTCCCCGAGCGCGGCGGGCGGCGGCGGCGCTTCCTCGGGCCCCGGGCCGCCCGCCCCGGCCGCCCCCCGCCGCTTCCTCCCCGCGACCCCGCGGCCCCCGGGCCAGGCGCGGCCGGCGGAAAGGCTTGGTGGGGCGGCCGCGGCGACGACACGCGCGACCGGGCCCGGGCAAACAAAGGGGGGATGTGGGAGGCCGAGGGTCCGGAAACTGGGCGCCGGTGGGGGCCGGCCGGGCGCAGCTCCCTGCCGCGGGGCCCATTGTTTGCCGAGGGCCCGGCCACACGCGCTTAACAAGAAATTAACACATCCTGCCTCTGCTTATCGACCCACCAACGGCCAAACAAACAGCAGGCTTATTGTGCACCGGCAGCTTCTGAATGGGAAGACCAGGCCCAAGAATTCTATCTCAGGCCCGTCCTAGACGTCCCCCTCTCTGTTTGGACACTGCCCCCTGTCATTTATGGTTCTCACGCTACTGTAATTGAGCTTAAAAAATTTTTATTACCCCTTAACCCCCCGTTTTTGGAAGATGGTCTTTACATTTAAGAGGCTCCATTCCGAAGATCCTCAGTGTAATAGGATGCTGATGAAAAGTTTGACGCTAATACTAACATTCATCTAGTCTTAAAATGTGCTAGGCACTCCTAAGCATTTTATGTGTGTTAATTCTTTACTTACTATAACAGACCCGTGAGTGAGGTGACATTTTTAATCTTCATTTTTCATATAAGGGAAAGAAGGCTCAGAGGGAACCCTGCTAAGTCACTTCAGTAGTGTCCGACTCTGTGCGACCCCATAGACGGCAGCCCACCAGGCTCCCCCTTCCCTGGGATTTTCCAGGCAAGAACACTGGAGTGGGTTGCCATTTCCTTCTCCAATGCATGAAAGTGAAAAGTGAAAGTGAAGTCGCTCAGTCGTGTCCGACTCTTAGGACCCCATGCACCGCAGCCTACCAGGCTCCTCCGTCCATGGGATTTTCCAGGCAAGAGTACTGGAGTGGGGTGCCTTTGCCTTCTCCCAGAGGAAACCCAGGAACACACAAAACTGGTAGGTGGGACTCCAGGATGGCAAGCGAGGCTCCCAGTTCTCGAATCCATACTTCTAAACTCTGGAGTGCCATGGTTTTGATTTTAATTTGTATGGATCACTGAAATAAATGACATTTCTTCATCGTATGTGCTTGCTCAACTGGACGTTTAGGAAACCTTGTGATGAAGCATAATTTTACAGAAGATCAGAGAGGGTAAAGAACTTCATTAAGTATTAATGTATATTTTTCTTTATTCATGCTTCTGCACTGTTGAGGGCTTAGGCTTTCTGGGTTTTTGAGGATGGGTTGTGGAATTTAAGTGGAATTTGTCCTTTCTGTGAAAAGTGCATGTTGTCATTTCTATGGTAAGTGTTCAAAAGTGTTGGAAAATAAAGCAAAATGAGCCCCAGTAAATTTGAAACCAGTTCATCAATCTGGATAATTAAGCCAGAGTTTCATTTCTCTGATTTATCCACATTGAATAAGTGTGGTTTCAATTTCCCTTTAATAAGTGATTGATAAAGAGGAGAGTGAAAAAGCTGGCTTAAAACTCAGCTTTCAAAAAAATAAGATCATGGCATCCAGTCCCATCACTTCATGTCAAATAGATGGGAAAACAGTGAGAGACTTTATTTTTTTGTGCTCCAAAATCACTGCAGATGGTGACAGTAGCCATGAAGTGAAAAGATACTTGTTCCTTGGAAGAAAAACTATGACCAACCTAGACAGCATATTAAAAAGCAAAGACATTACTTGGCAAGCAAAGGCCTGTAGAGTCAAAACTATGGTTTTTCCAGTAGTCATGTATGGATGTGAGAGTTGGACCATAAAGAAAGCTGAAGAATTGATTCTTTTAAACTGTGGTTCTGGAGAAGACTCTTGAGAGTCCCTTGGACTGCAAGGAGATCCAACCAGTCCATCCTAAAGGAAATTAGTCCTGAATATTCATTTGGAAGGAATGATGCTGAAGCTGAAGGGCCAGTACTTTGGCCCTTTGATGAGAAGAGCTGACTCACTGGAGAAGACCCTGATGCTGGGAAAGATTGAAGGCAGAAGAAGGGCAACAGAGGATGAGACGGTAGGATGGCATCACTGACTCAATGGACATGAATTTGAGCAAGCTCTGGGAATTGGTGATGGACAGGGAGGCCTGGTGTGCTACAGTCTATGGAGTCGCAAACAGTCGGACATGACTGAGCAACTGAACTGAACTGAAATGGCTGAAACTATTTTGTGTAAATCTGGGCGCTGTTTGTTTTTATAGAGAGATGTCAGCCAGCCTTATACATTGTTCAAGTCAGCCTCTTATACTTGTGGAAAAAGTAAAGTGAAAGTGTCAGTTGCTCAGTCATGTCCATCTCTTTGTGACTCCATGAACTGTATTCCACCAGGCTCCTCCATCCATGGAATTCTCCAGGCAAGATTACTGGAGTGGGTAGCCGTTCCCTTCTCCAGGGGATCTTCCTGAGCCAGGGATCAAACCTGGGTTTGCTGCATTGCAGGAAGATTCTTTACCTTCTAAGCCACCAGGGATGCCCATGCCTGCAGAAGTCACTTCAGTTAATATGCACTGAGTCCTCAGTAAGTTCCAGATACTCTTTGGGGAAGAAGATACCCAAATGAATAAGACACTCCTCATACCTAGAGCAATAACTCACTGGCTAGCCAGGAATGATAATAACTAATAACAATACATTTGTTAACATAAGTGCTATGGAAGTGCTATGGAAGAAGAACACAGATGAAAGATCAATACTTAATCCTGGGAGTCAGAATGCTACAGAGTGCTTTAAATGCTTCAAAACACTCTTGTCTTCTATAAATGAACTAAAAAATCATTCATTCAACATATATTTATTGAATCTCATTGTAGAGACATTGTGTCAAAGGAAAACAAAATATAACACCGATAGATCCTAATTACATGAAATTCATAATCTAGTGGAGGAAGTTTAGAAATGAATATAGAGCTAAGTGATTAGAAGGTACAACCTATTATGTATAAAATAAGCTACAAGAATATATTGTACAATGCACAGAATATAGCCAATATTTTATAATAACTAAAATGGAGTATAACCTTTAAAAAAATAAATGACATAAAAGTGCTAGATGTCAGCACTGGGTGTTCATTAATAATTCTGTCAAAATGTTTACATACTTTTAAGGAAAATTTTGAAAGTATGTATGTGTAAAGGTGATAAAATATGATTAAATTCTATTTGAGGTAGCGGAGCAAAATAATAACTTTGCAAGGATAATTATAAGAATATATTCATTTATATGCCCATAAATCCATCTGATTTCTGTGATGCATTAAAATTAAGTTCTATCAAAAAAGAAATGGTTAAATTATTACATGAATATTACAATTACTGGTTTTTATGATAGGGAGTGCATAGTATTTTAAGGTACAAAAATAGGAGGATTGTAATGGGTCAGGACAAGAAAGTATGGGAGAGGAGAGTGCCCAGGCAGAGGAAAAGTAAAGTGTCAAGTTTGCAATTGTGGTGGTAGTACTGTGATGCTTAGAGGGGAATGAAAGGAGACCAGTGAGTCTGCAGCTCCTGGGGTAAGTGGGAGAGAGAGTTGGAAGATGAGGCTGAAGTTCAGGCAGGGCAGTGCCAGGCACAGGCTATAGGCTGTGTTAGACATTTGAATGTCTATCTTATGTAAAGGTTTAGAAAGAGATTGGAAAAAAATATGTATATTTATCTCTATCCCCAAAAATGTCTTTGATGATAATATGGAGAACAGATTTGAGAGGTACCCTACATTCATGAAGCTGTTGTATTAGTCCAGTTCAGAGATGGCAGGTTCTCTTTGGGTGCTGCTGGTGGAAACTCTAAGAAGGGGCAGATTAGAGAAATAGGTATCCAGTAGGTCAAGTAGACAGAACATGGTGAGAGATGGAGGAAAAAAGATGAGACTTGATGACCTTGAATTTTTGGTATGTGCCACCAGTCAGGTTTGGAAGGGATGGTGATGAGTTTAGTTTTAGGAATTTGAGTCTGAGATGCCTTTGAGTCATCAAGATGTCATCACGTAGAGAATCGCAGGTAGGTGGGGGGATGGGATTGACCTTACATAGAGGACTGACATCTCCTCTACTGTATTAAAAGAGGAGAAGAGTAGGTGGGGTGAAGATATGGTAGATTTGTAAATTTGGTATATTCTCATTGGGAGAGGAGCAAGGGGGCAGCCTGGATCGAGAAGGTTTGGAATAGTTTCTGAGAAGTACTGAGGACCCGTTATTTATAGTATATCAGTTAACTCTGCCTTATGACTATCAGCAACAGCTCTCCATTGACGCAGATCATCAGGCTCCTGAAAGGCTGGAGATTAAAGGGGTTTGGGTATTTCCCATGTTATGGAAGGTGTTGAGGAGAAAGAGTTAAAAGGAGAGGGCTGATGCAAAAGAAGAAGGAAGGGAGGTTCAGTGAAGTCAAAGAGAAGTTGCAATAGCCGTAGTTAGCCTGAAATGTGCAAATAGAGTAGGTAATGGCTAGAGAGAACACGATTTAATTGGCAAATTATAGGTGATCACGGGGTCTAAGATGGTCATGGGAGCTGAAGAGGATAGGAAGTGGGGAGTCCAGGCTGCTGGATAATCTAAATACAGCCTGAAATAACCCATGATGGCCATAGGTCTTAGGATGAAATGGAAGATTGCCAGCCAGCTGCTCTCACTTTGATGATAAAGTGATTCGGGCCAGTTGATTTGCCAGCAAACAGAGATGAAAGCATAACAAAAACCCAAGACATCCAGAACAGTTGGGCTTTAAGAGGATGGAGGATAAATTGGAAACATTCTAACTCTTCTGCTCCCCTCGTCTTGCCTCTACCAAAATCGATCCCGGAGAAAAAGCAAGAGCAAATGTAAACACTCTCATTTTTGAAGTATTTCACACACACAAAAATTTTTCCCATGAATTTTATTTTAAAAGACAGAATTTAATTTAACAGGTTAGTTCTCTAGAGACTAGCATCATATCAGTAAACCCATGGGACTGAGGAAAAGCACTAACTTTTGTGTGCTATGATAAACTGAAATTTGGAAGTGAGGTGTTTTTGCCTGGAATGTGATTCTCTTCTTATCCAGGTGTCCCAGTTCTTTACAGTTCCATTAAAATTCCACCCCAACTGTTTCCTAACCCTCAAAAATCTCTGCGTACATATGGGATACTCCTTATCCAATACTGCAGCTTATCCTTCATTCCTGTTTTTTTTTTTTGGTTTGTTTTTTGTTTATTACATAAAAACCTGAATGTT